AGGGTGCTGATGAGGCCTGTGCGAGGTGGTAATGACAATCCATTCAAAATAAACTAGTTTTAAGAAAAAAGGGCGAATAGAATTCCATAGCACAATAAAATCTTTCTCTCACTTCATTGTTCTTCTTAGGAATGTCTCCAAAAGGATGAGTTGAAAGGGCATTAGCAACAACTTGCTGGAATTAATACTGAAGCAAGATATTTTAACAAAAGCTTTGGAGTTAGTAGCTGAAAACAAAATAAATGTAATAACTGCACCGCAATTTAAAAAAGAAGACCTGTGACAATCGGAAAATCATTCAATAATTATTATTATCTAAGCTAATTCGCACCTATCAAATCTTCCATGTAATAGAAGCAGATAACTCGGATCCGACCTGGAAGCCAGATTTTCTTATATAAAAATAGTCGAGATAAATTAACTAGGAATATACTCAATAAAAGATGCTGCCTTGAGGCATGTAATCTATTAACGATAGAGGACTCTAATAGCTCTAATAAAGTCTAAAATGAAAATTTTATTAGAAAATATTGGATTACAGCTGGATTACCAGCCCAGTAAAAGGAAGGTGCATAAGTGTAGATTATATCAAAGAGGAAATCAGCATAAATAGCACTTTGATATAAATTATATTCATAATATGTACTAAAAGTTGAATGATAGAATTAATCAACCATTAGGTGTCTATATAAGTTTCGATCCATATTAGGAAAAATAAAATAAAGAACGTATATTTTTTCAAATGCCTATTAAAAGCTCACTTGAGATTCAGTAAATCCGTGCAACAGTGCATCGTCACCAAGGGTTGAATAGAGCGTGACCAAAGGCCGATTTAGTCGGAAAATGGCCATTGCAGCGTATAGCCACTCGGCACGAGTCTCGCTGAAGATAGCGACAGGTTGTCTGTCTTCTGGAACGACCGGAGTAGGGCCTATTAGTTTGCGTATCCCAGCAGCCAGGTTTGATACTCTGACCTCGGCCTCACCGTACGTTTCCCAAGTATACGTACCTAGGGTTAGCTTAATCATCTGCTTGCCATTTGGTGAAGTCTTGTTATAAAAAAACGGCGGTAACAAAAAAAGCACACTAATTAGCTTCAATTTAGTTCCAATAGGAACAAATGGTCAGCTAAATCAATCGAATATATAAGGACGAATTAAAGCGTAATTGTAGAGGTTTTATAGTATTATTCTTATAAAAACAGGGTTCATTTGTTATAAATTAATAACGAGCTGGCAAAATAATTAACGTATTAAGCCTAGCGATGATAATGCAATAGAGTTAGATATGGATCAAACAACCAAGCGGAGATTAGCT